CTTTACCCCCCCCCCCTCCCCCCAAAAAAAAATCCCCAATTTACATTTTCTTAGTACTCCGGATTCTGCTTCAATTGTTACTTTGTTATTTGAGAAAATTCCTCTTCATGCTGAGTGCTGACTGATTAAAATTGCAGAAGTTTTGCAGGGCATAATGCGATGGGTGATGGAGTTGCTTCCTTTGGTTCTGAAGGTAATATACCATATATCCTTTGATAGGTCTCTGTATCTTCTTTTTCTGTGACGTATAATAAAAGATCTTCCTTCAGAAGAGGGTCCTGGAATAGATTCCTTTCAAATAATTGGGGAGGCTAAACCAGGAGGCAGACTTCTAGGCTGTGGATATCCTGTACGTGGAACTTCTCTTTGTATGTTCCAGGTATGATCAATGTACTTATATGTAATGGATATATATTTCAGGCTACTTATATTGATAAATGAAATTTCTTGGTAACCAAAATTTTCTCTTCTTATTAGTGGGTTCGCCATTATCCAGACGGAACTAGACAGTACATCGAGGGTATGCATATTAATGTCTTCTCATTTTTTGCAATGGATCTTCAATGACAATACTTTTGTTTAAATTATGTAATGGAAGACACATTGAAACTTGTTTCCATATATATAATTAGCATTAAAAAAATCTCTCTTACCTCTATTTTGGTGTTTTTATCAGGGGCCACTAATCCAGATTATGTAGTAACAGCTGATGATGTGGACCAACTTATAGCCGTTGAATGCATACCAATGGATGAACAAGGACAACAGGTATATGAACCTATATTTTGTACATTACAGGAATAATGCTGTTGAATGCCTTAACGATTCCTGAAGATGAAATATAATCTAATATCCAATGAGGCAGAGTTGTGTATGATTTATTCAGTAAAATTTTCATACATATTCAACGTTGACTAATGCATTAGCTCATCCAAGTTTACCCTTGTATTGACATGGTACTAAAAGGATAGATCTGATTATAGACAGTAAGTCACTAATATGCAAGAATTTAATCCTTTCGTCCCTTATTTCGGTAAAGGATATGATTACATTTGTTTTTTTTCCATAAATGTAAAGATGGATCATATGGAGTGACTACAAGGATTCAATATAGACTACCCCAATTAGTTTACTATTGTTTCCTATTAAGCATTATTTTCTGATGGATATTAAATAGAAGTAACAAGTGAACTATAATGATAACATAGAAAAATATTAATCATACACCTTAACTATAACTCGTCCAAGGGGATGAAGGTTGGGGTAGGATTCATTTCTGGTAGGAAGGTTGTGTTCGCTCCTGCGTCCTCCCTTCTTTTCTTTGAATATTTAACATTCTTTGCTTGGTGAGTTTTTAATTAGTAAATTCGTGTTTTTTATCATAAGAAAATACTTCTCATTCTAGGAAACTTCAATATTTACTGGTTTAAGATAAATTCTATATTTCTATCTCTTCTATACTCTTTTTAAATAGTTTCTAATTGTTGCTCCTTTCACTTTATACAGTATAAGAATGCTATACTTCTTAGTTGTACACTGAATTGTCATTTTCAGGGTGATATTGTCAGAATTTTTGCCAATGATGACAACAAGATAACATGTGGTTAGTTCTATTGCAAGACAATATTTCCGTTTCAGTGCTGTCATTTCATATTTTTGTACAATGGGCTTATTGTTACAATTTTTTAACTGCTTGGGGAAGTTTGTAGTAAAATTTCTTTATCATATTTAGGAGCATAGCTTGAGCATATAACCTTTTTCCTGGTGTATATGGGCTCATTTATGCCAACGTTTGAAATCTTGATAATGTACGTGATTGTAGAATGTATTGGAAGGAAGGATCCCTTCGAGAGTTAAATTTAAGGAACTTCATTATTTGGAAGGCATTTATAGATGAAACAAACCACTATGCAGCATAACATTCACAAAGGAAACACTTCTTGCCTCTGTGTTTGCTTAATATGTTTGAGTGAGGCTGATTTGTTAACAACTCAATGTTTTACTGACCAACAAATCTCAAATACAGAGCTAACATCCTCATCTTCAATTATTTATTTATTTATTTAGTAGTAATCTGCACAAGATATTGGACTTTGTTATTTTGATAAAAATCACAATATTTCCAGAAAATAATTTCATAGATATCAATTATATATGAGTGATCAGGTTCATTTGTAAATGGAGAAAAAATCTGTATTTGTTCATGTTATGATGTAAAAAGTACATCTTTGTACGGCTCAATGCATAACCATGCTCGTTCTTTATCATTTGCTAAGTGGTTGTTAGACCACAATTAAATTCCAGTAGGATTCTTGCCAATCTACTACTTTGATAGTGTTAGAAATCATCTAAATATAATATCTATTTGAAATTGTTGAAAGAATATAATTCTATTGTAATATTATGGCATGTTATTAAATAGAACTGTAGGAAATAAATATAAGCTAAAATCTTGCTTTTTATTATATTATGTCTAGTCATATATTGTGTACCAAACATGCCTTTTATATTTAGCTCCTATTTGGCTGGAATTATAATCTAGATGTTTATTTTGAGTCAAAATTAATAATTAATTTTAACTGCATATTTCATGGGACCCACAACTTTTCAAATACTAAACAAAGGCTTTACCTTTTCTTCTGTATTCCACAACCTCTTTCAAGTTTGAATATGGAAACCTAACATGAATACCATTTTTCCAGCCCCTTCCCCTAACCTAAATAAGAAAAAATGGTAAAAGCAATGATGATTGCAAATATTGGGTCTTATCCCAATTAGCTTTTTGCATATTCCTTTGATGAAAATATTATGTGTCATTTGCCTGTCAAAAGGAATGTTATCTAATGAGTGGTTTGCTATATCCAGACGAAGAGATGCAAGAGGAGATTGATACTTATCTTTCAGAAGGCCAGGCAACATTCGGTGTCCAAACACTGGTAGGTTTTACTCAAGCACGCTCTGAGTTCTTAAAGAAAATGAAATTTTGTTCTACTACTTTTTTTTCTTCCTTCTTAAAGTTGAAGTAGCATCTCGGTTTTCTTGGTCTCTCTTTTTTCTGGAGAAATTTTTCTTGTAATATTTACCACAGTCATTGTACATTTATTCCTTTGTCACCCTCCCAATTTATGTTGGGGCGTGTTAAGGAAGAAAATCTATTAGGAATAATGTATATTAAGCGAGAACATTATTTGGTAAATTTAGTTTTCATATATATACACATTATTTTTCTATATAATAAAAGGAAGATGAGAGAAAGAGTCATCTGTGCTTATGCCAAACTCTTGTTAGAGCTAATTTTTTAGGGTTTGGTATTTTTCGTCCACTTCTTCTCTTCAGCAAACCGTTTGTTCCTTTTTTTCTCCCTCTTTTCTTCTTTTTGCTTTTCCTCCACTGAGAGTCCCATGTGGTGATCTCGACCTCAGTGGTTGAGAGTGTTGGCAGAGTTGTTGATTAAAAGACATTAGAACCCAGGTATGTTGATTATCGGTGTGTCTTGTGTGGCAACGCACGGTAGCTATAGTTTCCGGTCATTGTCGTGGGTTGTGACAGATATTTGGAGTCGACAGCAGGGTCTATTTCTTCTTGATTAGTGGTCGAGTGGCAGCGATGTGGCTGTAGTAAGTCGTGGTTGTTGGTGCACTGATGGATTGCACTTTGCTGCTAATTTCTCTGCTGCATTTGGACTTGATTTGGGCATTCTGAAGTTGATTTTGGATTTGATTAGAATTGTAGGCTGATTAATTGGGCTCTGGCTATGAATGCTATTATTGGGCTTTAGTAATTTTGTTGGGCTTTGTTTGTGGTTGGATTTTGTTTGGGCTCATTTTGTGATTTGTTTTCCTTGGGCTCTAATTCTTGGTTTGTGGGCTAATTATTTTTGGACTCTCATTATTGCTGAGTTAGTCACTTGGTTTGTGGTTGCCTGTTATTGTTGATTTGTCTTATTCTCTACGGTTAAGTACTAGTATGTGTGGTTAAAATTATGTCATCAAAGATGGAGATGTTCAATTTTTCTGGTGCCATGAACTGGACCCATGGCACCAGAAAAAATGAATGAATGAAATTACACTTATTGGGCTAGGTGTGTCGAGGTCTTCTTGCGAGATAAAGGTTTATATAACCACTTGATTTTAGACAAGCCATCTGCCAAATCCTTAGAAGGTGACTCTGTAAAGATTGATTCTAATTTTAACGATTGGTGGGATTAAGAAGATAAAGCAATCATTAGACTTATAATCAGTAGTATTGAGCCTCATATTGGGTCTTCATCTCTTTACATGTCTATGGGTAAGCAAATTTGGGAGCATCTTAGACATATACACTCTGGAACTGGGAATATTACTTAAATCTATGATACTTGCAAACAATATTTTGGGCTCGAGAAAGGCTTCTCCAGTCTTGTTGAGTATTATAATAAACTTTTGGCTGTGTGTTAGGAAAGGAATATGCGTGAACCTCTCACTCTCTTGACTTGAAGTTTATTGAAATACAGCGAAAAGACATTGATGTCGTTAAATTTCTTATTGGTCTTCCACCAGAGTTTGAAGTTGTCACGGCACAAATATTGGGTAGAAAAGAACTTCCCAGTCTTCCAAAGACATTCTCTCGTATTTTAACACTCTACTCTCTCCGATGGTGCACTATGCACCCGCGAAGATCATTCTGCTTTTATTTCTCGGGGTGGCTCATTTGATGGTGGACGTAGCAATTGAAGTAGACACGGTTGGGAAATCGTAAACCACGAAAATGTACTCACTGTGGTCGTACAGGTTACTCCGTTGATTATTGTTGGGACTTACATGGCAAACCATTTAGATCTGCCGATTAGGTATCGTCTAATGAGGACCATCACCCAGTGTCTGGACCAGTAACTAACTCCAGCTTAACACAATGATCTGATCTCTTAATTGTACCACATGATGAGTATGTTGAGTTTTTAGCTTATAAGTAGGCCGCTTCCACTTCTATGGCCACATTCGCTCAGTCAGGTATTGCATCTTCTCACTGTATATTGTCATCCTCTCACAATCCGTGGATTATCGATTCCAGTACAACTAAACAGACTAGTTCGTCTACTTTTCTTCTTGATTATCATCTTGTTACTTCCTAATATTAATCTGTCGAGTGTCCTTCATGTTCCTGGATTTCCCTCTAGTTTATTGTCTATTAGTAAAATTATCAACTCTCTTCAGTGCTTTGTAATATTTTATCCCTTAATGTTTGTTTTTTAAGATTTCAAGACGAAGAAGATGATTGGTATAGGGCATGAAATTGGTGGCTTGTATTACTTGGATATTTCATCGGTCTTTCTTCCTTGAGCTCTTCAATCTTCTGTTTCACCCATACATTGGCATTGCTGTCTTGGGCACCCTTCTTTATCCTCCCTTGAATGTGATACTTTTCAGCTTAGCAAACCTCATCGTGTCTTTTCTGTTACGAACTAGTAGTCATGTTTCTAGTTTATTTGAGTTAGTTCATTCTAATGAATGGGGACCAATCAATATTTCTTCTAATAAATTTCAATATTTTGTCACTTATGTGGATGATTATTCTCGTATGACTTGATTGTTTCTAATGAAAAATCGTTATGAGTTATTTTGTATATTTCAAGCCTTATGTTCTTTAATCAAAACTCAATTTAACAAGAAAGTCCGTATTTTGCGTTCTGATAATGTCAAAGAATATATATATGCATTTTTTACTTTTTATTTATCTTCAAAAGGCATTACTCATCAAGCATCTTGTGCATATACTCCACAACAAAATGAAATTGTTGAATGTAAAAATCGTCATTTATTAGCTATTACTTGTGCTCTTCTTTGTCATATACATGCCCCTAAACATTTTTGGAATGATGCTATCCTTACTGCATGTTATCCTATTAATTGCATGCCATACTCCGTTTTAAATGGTGCATCTCCCTTCTTTCTTTTGTTTTCCTCATCTCCACCATACTCTTTACTCTCAAAGTTTTTGGATGTGTTTGTTATGTTCATTCCTTTAGTTTTGATCGTGACAAATATAACACTCGCTATACGAGATGTGTTTTCCTTAGTTATTCCCAAACACAGAAGGAGTATCGTTGCTACAATCCTTCTCCGCAGAACTATTTTATAGTGTAGATATCACTTTCGATTAGTCTACACCTTATTTCTTTGATCATAATAAGTCTCCCGAATCCACTCAGGATCCCGTTAACTTACCCTTTCCATATCTACCAGTTGTTATTTCTCCGGAACCAATTTCTTGTCTTCATTTACTATACTAGGGTCATCATCTTCTTATAAGGAACTACCCCTTCCTTTACAGGTTTATACCCGACGATCTCAGACACCACCGCCCTAGCCCTAACCATCGCCTTGCCATCTTAAAATCCTGCTTCTGTCGTCTATTCTGAAATCGAGTCCCTGTCCATTGCTCTCCATAAAGGTAAACGTACTTGTGTAACTAAATATCTAATCAGCCACTGTGTCACTTTTGATTTGTTCTTCATTTTCTTGTTTTACATTCCTAGCTTTCTAGGGTTTTTGTACCTAAGACATTGTGATGTGATGATGTGATCCGGGCTAGAGCCAAATTCTCAATTATTTGGCGATTGTTGGAGGTCGGTTAATACCAAGATTCAAGCTATTTGGAGGCTAAAAACGATTGATAAAGATGGCAAATCTCATGATCAAGCTTTGGAATTCAAAATGTGGGAATTAACAAGTTTCGTGATTGGCGGGAAGAGACCAAGTGCAAAGTCGGATTTGATCACAGTCAATGAAATCATGCAATCAAGCGTCGAGGTTGCCGGGCTACAAAAGATGATGTTTGCAAACTTAAGGTCGAGTTACATGTTAGTCATAAAGACGAAATCATGTTCGGTGCATTGGATTCAAAGTTTTGGACAATATATGGAAAAACGAGCAGTGTGGATTAAAATGGGCATAACTTTTAGCTCGAGTGTTAGATTTTTGCCCATGAATACAATTCGGAATCGTCACGAAAGTCTGCACAAAGAGGAGGTTTCAAAAATCAAACCTTGCGACCGCATAGGCTATTTTCGAGACAAAATTGAGGCTGACTATTTGTTCTATACGACTGCATTGATTTATACTATGCGACCGCATAGTACAACTTCTGGACGCGATTTTCCAAATTTCGAGAGGTGTTTTATTTATGGTAGAATTCTATTTATTTGACATCTTTGTAATCTTTAAGAGTAATTTCCGTCCTTAATTTTTCTAGGTTTTTCATATAAATAGGAGTTATTATTTCAATTGTAACAAGACTTTTCATATGAATTGAAATATAACTTTCTCCGAAAGCTTTGCTTCAATTTCTTTGTCCTTGATGAAATTTTTTTACCGAACTTATCAAGATTTAAACATCTTGTGGCGTTCAAAACATCGGGTATGAATCTTTGAATTGTGTAATCAAGGGATCTTTCAAGCAATGTTCTTGTTAGGTTTCTTGATTCATATTTTCTAGGTTCAAATCCAAAACCCAGAAGAGATTCATAAGCTTTGTGATCAAGAGGTCGATCGTTTAATATACGCTGGGTTGCTTGGTTTATTGTTCGCAGTTAATTCCTAAACCTTGATCGTATTTGGGCGTTCTTGGGATCCGGTGACAATATTTTGTGGGTTCCGTAGCCATTGTTGGTACGTGGGTTCGCATCACATTGACAAAGGCTTTATCTAATCTTTGAGTGACGAAAGGCTTTGGAATTGGAAATGGCAACCTTATACGAGAATAAGACTTGGGACCTTGTTTTGTCACCATCTGGTATACGTCTTGTTGGTAACAGATGGTTTTATGTTCCAAAGTTTAATCCCGATGAGACTGTTGTTCGGTTGAAAGCCCAATTGGTTGCTAAAGGCTATGCACAATCCTATGATATTGATTATGATGAAACATTCTCTCCGGTTGTTAAGATATCTTCTATTCGTGTTTTGATTTCTATTGCTGCTAATCTTGATTGGACACATTTCAGTCGGATATTAAAAATGCATTTCTTCATAGTGATTTGCACAAAGAGGTTTATATGGAGCAACCACTTGGGTTTGTTGCTCAAGGGGAGTACTAGAACTATATTTGTAAGTTGAAAAAGGCTTTACATGGGTTAAAGCAATCACCGAGGGCATGGTTTGAAAAGTTTTTTGAGGTTCTAAAATTTGATCTTCAAAGGTATATCATTCAATATTTAATCTATATATTGGTGCAGATCGTGTTATCCTTGTAGTTTATGTAAATAATATTGTAATCACTAGTGATGATGTAGATGGATTGTTTAGTCGAAACAGTTTCTAGAAAAACATTTCCATACCAATGATCTAGGCAAGCTCCTATATTTTAGGGTATTGAAGTTGCTAGGTCTCGAGCAGTTATCAACTTATCTCAGAGAAAATATGTACTTAACCTATTAGATGAGACAAGTTTTCTTGAAACTCGTTCAGTTGATACTCTCATGGATTTTATTGTGAAGCTTTTAAAGGATGAAGGAGAATCATTTGGAGAGCATTATTAGAGGCTTCTCTAGTTTCTCATTTGGAAGTTGTGATACGTATTTTTCGGTATTTGAAAAAGGCCTCAAGTCTTGGATTATTGTATAAGTTAAATGGACATATCAGAGTACAAAGGTTTACAAATGCAAATTGGGCAGGATCTCCGTCAGATAAATGCTCCACTACCGATTTCTGTACTTTTCTCGATGGTAGTCTTATCTCTTGAAAAATTAAAAAACAAACTCTAATAGTAAGGGCAAGTGCAGAAGCGGAATATATGGTGATGGCTCGTATTGCTAGTGAATTGACATGGTTGCAGCACTTTATTCAAGAAATCAACCTCTCACCCTCTACTCCTATACTGATATTCTATGATAATCAGGCTGTTCTACATATTGCATCCAATCCAATCTTTCATGAAAGGACCAAGTATATTGAAGTTGACTGTCATTTTGTTCGGACAAGATAGTATGTGGCGATATATGTACACCATTTGTAAAGACCGGAGACCAACTTGCTGATATTTTTACGAAATCGTTGAACATTAATCAGTTGAAATTTCTGTGTTCCAAGTTGGGCTTATATGATATATATATTCTCCAATTTGAGAGGGAGTGTTAAGGAAGAAAATCGATTAGGAATAATGTATATTAGGCAAGAACATTATTTGAAATATTTAGTTTCCATATATGTACAAGTTATTTATCTATATAATAAAAGGAAGATGAGAGGAAGAGTTAACCTTCTTCTCTGCTTATGCCAAACTCTCGTTAAACAGGGCCAACGCCACATACAAGAATGATGAGGCAAACCTAGTTTCATTACTTTTCTTAATCAGATCTCAATACAAGATTTTTAATTTGATTTCAGCAGAAAGGACAAATGTGATGTCACAAATAATGTTTTATTGCTAGAATTTAACAGTTGTGTCATAATTAATTGTTTATATCAATTAAATTCTTTGGAAGATACTTCTATGTATTTGATTTATAAAGTTCTGTCCAAATTCCCAGAAATGTAGAACTCTCGTTTCTGATAGCACATTAATATTCTCAGTTGAGAAAATGGTATAGTAGACATTGCAAGGTCCGTGTTAATGATTTCAGGACACTTCTTATTTATATCCTATGGAATCGGACTCGTGCTTATTAATGTATATTTGATTGGTAACTAATGATGTTTCAAAATTTTCTGCTATGTTCTTTTAATATATATATTTGGAAAGCCATTCTGTTAATATATAATTGATCAGTTTCTTACTTGAAGATTCAACAGTTAGATTCTTCAGAGAACTGGGAGCCAACAACTATAATTTTATGGCGCTGGGGCTTTCGGGTTAAGGTTGAGAAAACTCAAGCTATGTTAATTGAAGAGAAATATTCTGAAGACGTTTTGGTAAGTTCTTGCTTTCTATGACTTTGAGCCACGATTTTATTTTATTATTATTATTATTTTTAAATCTCTACAACTATTAAAATCTAAATTTACCAACTGATTAGAATTCATGTATCGCTTATGACGTGTCTCGGATAAATAGAAGTTAGCTTTTATGCATACAACTTGATAGGAGAATTTGTAATTGTTGAATTACAAACTGTAAGAGAATATGTTGGACACCTCTTGTTGTAATACATCATTCTTACATTTGCAGATCAAAATACCTGGTGGCCATTCGGCACAGTTTGTTTTAACCTGTTCAAATGGCTCGTCATATCCGTTCAGCACAAATAAGGATATTCGGTAGTACACCATTTTCACTTCTTAAATTTTTTTCTCATTACTTAGATTGTGATTTTCTTTTTCTTTTTAAGGCAAATGCACTTGTTTTGCGTACTTAGGTTGTTTCTGTACTGATAGCAAAATTGAAACTCTAAATCTCCTTCGAATTAAGCTTAGAAAATTGAATTACGTTCATGTTCTAAAAGATACAGGGGCAGCAAGACAAATGAAAACTCAAATTAGATCTCGCCTCTGCTTAAAAAGATGTCATCCTACAGCACCAAAAATAGTATAGATAATGTTTTGTATGCGTAGTTTAAAAATATTTCGCAGGAATTTCTTCACATTAGACTGTTCTTTCACCCCTTTTCTTTATGTTTAGACCTTTTTATGGAGTAATCTGTTTGGACAAACTAGCTTTGATTTGATACCAAATGCATGATTGCAACTCTTATGACATATAAAATTAAATTGTTTTTGACTTTTTGCAACTGTTGGTCTGGTCATTTTCTTCATAATTAGTTTGTATTGGGTCAATGTACTGGTTAGCAAGCAAAATAATTAGTTCATATGTTTTACTTTCTTCCACGAATTAATGATTTCTCTAAAGATGCTGTTTCATTTTCCTTGTAGGATGAGAGAGACAATCGTGCTGACGATGAGAATCTTCCAGATCAAGGTACCGTTTTCTGCTTGTTATTATAGTATCGCATATACTTCTGTGAAGCACTGAAAACTAACTTTATGATAATGTTATTCATTCTACATTGAATAATACTATTTAACACCACTAGTGTTATAACATAAATCTAGATGGCACATTGGAACCATGTGATAGGTTCAATTGAGGATAAAATTATGTCTCTTTTAGTTTTATCTTACATATAATGTCACTTAATGTCATCTAAACTGGTGCAATATCAGTGGTGCTAAATAACATTACTGTTCTTCGTTTTTGCTGCCACTAAAAAGAATTTATCCATGCTTAAAATTTACAAAACCAGTCTTTATTCTTTGATGTGGAGTTTATAAATTAAATTGATAGTTCTGTTCAACTGGAAGTAGTAAGATTCAACAAAGGAAACTACATTATTATGGGTGCTTTAAGTTTTTTATTGTTGCTTCATGTCTACAGAAAAGAGCAAGCGTTATACACCCCGAAAATTAGTCAATTTCTATTTTCGTCATCTGGAATGTGTTTTAAGCATTAGAGACATCTTTTTGGTGTAATTTATATTGTTGGCTGCAATTTCACGTTATGTTTTTTACGCTTCAAGCAGGCATTGGATGAAAAGAGGAAGGGAAAAGCATGATCAGTATGGTTCATTATAGATGCAGGGTTTATAGACGCAGTCTTTGTAGCTATTCTTCATTCTTTGTTGAAAAATCAAAAAAGGCTATATTTTTATAGCTACATATAGTTTTGTTTTGTACCCGAATATGTAGTGAAGTTATAGCTCTTTCGTTTTCATGTTTTGTTGCAACAATTTGGTTGTACAGGATCACATTTTTGACCGATGACACACAAATTTTCATTAGGTTAAGTATTTCCAGCAGGTTATTTATCAGCGATATGCTTGTATAGAATTATACTTCTCTTGTTCCCCCACAATATATAAGTATTCATTGGCTTGTATTAGGTACTTGTAACCGATTCCACTTTCTAAAATTTTCTGCTAGATCTCTTATTTCTCTGGAATTGTAGTTTAATTGATCAGAACACCACCCTTTCAAGGCGGAAGTAGTGATTTCAAATTTAGAGAAATTTCAGAAGATCAACTGGGGTGTGGATGCGTTGACAATCACCACACAAAGTAGAAACTTTTTCGTTTTCATTTTGGAACTACATGAATGAGTTTTTATGGCTTAGTATTGGTCAAGTGCAAGTCCTTACTTCCGTAGGATACATTTATGGCTGTTTAGTACACTCAGGCTTGAGTTACTTGGAAACTGGCTTTGAGTGTGAATCTTGTCCAGTTTGAATGCATTATTCAGATTTTTCTAATACCAAGTCGTGTTCTTAATAAATTTAGGCCAAAAGTATATGAATTTTATTATTATTATTATTATTATTATTATTATTATTATTATTATTATTTTATTTTTGCCACTTTATTCGGTTCATTTATGAATTTACTGAAGTATTGCAATAAGTTGACGGTCGGCATAGAACTGTCTTAATCTTAGGGTCCGTTTGATACCGTCGTATTCCATGAAAAATGTTACATCTGAGAAATTTGTTTTCTACCTTAACTGTTTGATACGAAAGTGGAAATGGAGTTTGAATTTCAATGTACAAACACTTAAAGCATATTTTTTACCAATTCCATGGAAATCGAATTCTTATGATTTTGGTGGTTTCTTCTTTTCCAACTTTCATGGAATTGGTTTGCCTTTTTCACATTTGCTATCAAACAGGCCCTTTGTCTATGTAGTAGTTGGAATTTGCTCAACTTTTGTGCAATTTTGATTTTCTTTGTAAATTCTTGTTTCTTGTTTTGATTGGTTGACGAAGGAAAGCCGGGAATTTTGAATCTGGAATTTCGATATCAACTGCCCGTCCTTTGGATTACCTTTCTTCTTTCTTTGATTGCGTAGGAGATAATGATTAAAGAAGAGAATCAGGTTTTTCTCCTTAATTATCTGCACCTAAACCTCATATTAGCTGTTAACAATACATTTTTTGTACAGCTTAATAAATCCAAACATTGAATAATAGAATAAGCAAATAAATAGTAACCATTTCTACTGCAATTAAAGACAATGTGGGGTTCTATTAACTTTCAAGGGTTCTTCAGCTTATTATTATTTTATTAGTTCCCTTTTGTTAACCGTAAGTTTGATTTCTTTTAATGCATTGATGTTCTCAACTCTTTGGAAGGTGTAACAGATTGGGAATATAATCAACAGAGATTTAAAAAAATATTCGTACTCAATTATTTTCTTAACTGCTTAATATAATAAAGAGAATCCCTTTATTTAAAAGAAAAAAAAATAGTTGACTTAATTATGAGTTTTTGTGCCACGTACTTAGGTTCTAAGTAAATTGTAATTTACTTAAATAATTGTTAGCTTTTAAGTAAGTGAAATTCCTTTTTGTAGTGTCATTTTCTATAGTTTTTGGCTACACTTCTTAATCTCCAAATTCATGAACTAATTATTTTATAGGTAATTTGATCATCTTCTTTCAACCGACAACTATCTCTTTGGTCAACAAACTATCATATGCAGTGAAGATTGGAAAAAGAAAAAAAAAAGTATGGCCAAGAAAAATAAAGAAAAAGAAGATGAGGGCCATATTGTGTTTGGAAAAGGAAAAGGACTTATCAACTACCAAAACTTTACTTCCCTTAACATCTAAGCTCCCTTTTAGCCTCCCCCTCACCCACCACAAAACTTCATGAATCTCCTCCCTCTTCTTCCTCGACTANCCCTTAACATCTAAGCTCCCTTTTAGCCTCCCCCTCACCCACCACAAAACTTCATGAATCTCCTCCCTCTTCTTCCTCGACTAGCTCTCTCCCACTACCCTGAGGGGCGAGGGTGCTTCTCCGCCATCAATCAGAAGAAATCTCAACCATCTAATTGAAAGGCTCGCTGACCACGAGGTCTATCAATTCTAAAGTCAAGATTAACTCATCTTTAGTCTCTTTGGACCTCAAGTTGCCTCTAACCTCATTCTCGAGAGGAATCCAACCAATCAGATCATTTAAAACTCGGCCACCTTCTAGCAATACGCAAAGACAATTCTTCTTGCAATGTTACTATGGAGAGGTGCTTGTCATACATAGTTTTTGGCAAGTTTTACTGAGAATACAGATTTTGGACATGGGTTCTGTCGGGAATCAAAATCTTTGGCCTCCTTATGATAGTTCTAAGGGGTGTTCACAAGGGATTTGCAGCATGTATTGTCCACAATGGTGTTACTTAAACTTCCCTCCTCCTCCGATGGATGATGATTCCGGTACCCCTTTCTCCCCCCTCGTCATAGCCATCATAGGCATCCTGGCAATTGCTTTCCTTCTAGTAAGCTACTATACGATAGTAAAACGGTATTGCAGGAGAACAAATGATCCGAACACAAGTATAGAACCCGAAGAGAATCTTGATGGAACAACTCGTGACCAGTGGGCCGTTGCCTCAACCGGATTGGATGAGGCACTTATCAAGACAATCACAGTTTGTAAGTACAAGAAAGGTGATGGCCTAATTGAAGGGACAGAATGTGCAGTTTGTTTGAGTGAATTTCAAGAAAATGAGTCTCTTAGGCTATTGCCAAAGTGTATCCATGCTTTTCACCTTCCTTGTATTGATACATGGTTGAAATCTCATTCAAATTGTCCTCTTTGTCGTGTCGATGTTAATATAACCTCTCCGTTGCCTCCACCTGCCCCAAGTTCACAAACTCCATCGACCCTGAACCTGGCTTCTCTCGAAGTTCAAAGGCCGGATGATTTGATTTTCGTGGTGGATGATCAGGGAAGGGATTGTTCAGAAGACGTGATTTTAACCCTTTTTAGTGATGATAATGTTCAACCGAAGAGCCCCGTACAAAATGTTAGCACAACACAAGATTCTGAAACACGAAACGACATTATCGGAACTCCCAAAGAGGATGTTAAAAATTTTAGAAGATCAATTTCTTCAGGAACATTTTCGAGCCAACGCCAGCTTATGATTGCTGATATTCTGAGAATTAAAGAAGCATATGAAGGGTTACAAATGGAAAGTTCCTCAAGAAGAGTGTTGGAAGAAGAAATCAAGAACAATACTAACAGTAATAGCAGAGATTGGGAATTAATGAGAAGCCCTGTTGCAATGAGAAGATCCATATCCACTGGCAGATTCTTATTCACAGTTCATAACAAAGGCAAGAATTCCATAATCCCACATTGAATATACACATAATGTAAAGTTACTTGCACCAACTTGTCCTCTCAAGTCCTTGACCTAATTATGTTTAGCATAGTAGGAAAGAAATATGTAATCTTTGAGTTTGATACTTGTGATGCCCAATATGGGATTGAGTGGAAATTGAAACAGAATTTGTCATTTATTTGTGGATATGAAATGTTCTTGTTGGGATCAAATTTTCTTAAAATCAATAAAGGAATCGAACTCATGATACAATTTGTATTTCCGTCCATGACTTAAAAAATTACTCCATGAACGGAAACACTTGAATAGTTAAGTTAGTAATTGACTACATAAAAACTGTGGATAAATATTTAGGAGTATATATTTTGTGATTTTGTAGGATGTTATATTCATAATTAGACGTATGTGATAGAGTTGTACTTGTTCGACCGGAAAGTCTTGAAAGCAATTTCTTCTTCAAGAAAACAGATAAAGTATGATGATTGACTTTGATTATGTAATAGACGGCTGACCTAACAAGAACAGTATGTCAAAGTACTGATTGAACTTGTATCCATATATATGGCAAATTTGAAGTATATTTATGTCCTTATTAACATTTCAAATTTGAAGGATATTTATGTTAGACTGAAAAGTATATTTATGTCATTAATAGTGTGTCTTGTTATTTGAAAGAGATGGCAAATTTCGATAATGTTACAAGTTCAGACTCAAATCTAGATAGAATACGTGCCGATGCATGATTGGATAGTTTGAAAAATTAAAACAAAAACACTCACTCATTTTCTGACACATCAGTCTGTATCTTCAAACCTTATTTTTTAGTCTAGCTAAGTAACTTTATTCGGCAAATTTTGAATTACATGGCAACTCCCATTAGATAATAGATGTTCTGGTTCTTGCACAAAATTAGCATTTAAATCCCCTCCGAAAAAGCATTTAACCTTGTATGGAAAGTATTGCAAAGAATTGCTATGGAAATTGGCATTATGTCTTCATAATCATAATGTTCTTTTATTGCTGGATTTACTTAGCTCAACTTTTGAAATCACTTAGTGTACGTTTGATTGCAAAGATTGAATTGAAAATGAATTTCAGGAAATTAAATTGCCTACAAATTATTTTCCTGAAAATTGTAAATTATTGTGTTTGATTGGTATAATTTTTCACGTGAAAAATGTTGAAATAAAAGTATTTTTTGCTGTTCGTTTGATTTTATTTTACATGAAAATTGTCAATTAAAGGGATAAGTTTTACTGTTATTGGGGATGAATTTTGTTTCCATTGCCCAAAAAAAAATTCAAGAAAATCATCTATCTTTTGGTGTTCGTTTGACTTTGTTTAACATGAAAATTGTCAATTAAATGGAAATATTTTTTTTACAATAATTCTTAAAATTTGTTTCAATTTGCTAAAAAAAAAAAAAAATTCGCTACAGTGGTCTGGAATTCGAATTCTCACCAATGTTGTGAGAATTCGAATTTCATGAAAACATGGAAAATTGTAGGTTCCCGAGAAAAACAAGAAAACTAATTCCTTGGGGAAAAAAGGTTATCAAACAGCCAAAAAGATGGAAAATAGAATTGATTTTCCATTTTCCATGGAAAACTTGATACAATAAAACAGGGCCTTAGATAGTGTTTGATATGGTTTATTTTCTTTTTCATTTTCCACCTTTTGCACGTGTTTTATGGCAAAAACTTTCTAGGGAATCCCCTCCCCCCGCCCCCTCTCACGTGATGGATTTTCCTTCAATTGGTGGAAAATCAAGTCCCACCAACATTTTGGTGAGAATTGGGGTTTTCTAGCTTCTTTTATATATTATTATTATTATTATTATTATTATTATTATTATTTTATTTTCAGCAATGGGAACAAATTTTTTATCAACAACTGCAAAAAAATTTATCCCTTTAATTGACAATTTTCATG